AGGTGAGAATCATGGAGCAATGATCATGAAAATTGACAACACGTCCACTATCAATTTGGCCAAGAATATGATAGCACATAGAAGAAGCAAAAACATTGAGATGATGCTCCATTATCTTCGAGAGCAAGTAGCAAGTGGGAAGCTGAGTTTGGAACACTATAGAAATGAGAACCAGATTGCAAATATCATGACAAAGGTTGTGCAAGTGGAGTTATTTAAGAGATTGAGAACTATGAAAAATATAGATAACTTAGACACAATGAATTATGTGGTGTGTCAAATATATAATTCTTTACGTCTATAAATGTTAGTTTCAATATAGTCGAACCAGTGTATATTCGACAAAGTTGAATGGAGTATGTAATAGTTGTATATGTTGGATTCAATATAAAGTCAAATACAACTTGTTGAAGCATATGTTATGTTGTTATTTTGAGAATTTCTTTATGTGCAAACAATCTCATTATATACAGGAAAGTGCCTTATTGTTATAAGTGTGAAGAAAAGTTGCATAAATTTATTTTCAGTTGAAAGCTAAGAGAAACTCTGCAGACCCAGTCTTTCATCTTCCCTCCTTTCTCCCAAAACTCTAATTTCTATTTTCTTCCTCAATTCACTCTCACAAATTTATTTTCTTCTCAAATCATTATGCACAAGAATCGTCTAACAACCAAGGAGTGGTTGAATTACTCTAGTGAAGAGTGAGGAGCGAAAATCTTAAATTAATCAAGAAAGTGATTTATACTTGTTCCGCTTAGAGAAGCGATTCCCAACATCTTGTAATACGGGGTGCATCCAATTTTTAATATATGTGTGATATGTATCCCAATTTTGTAATTCAAACGTATTTTTTATTTGTATTCAACCTAATTTTGAGATTGGAATAATTGTGTTTTGGAACGCCCGAATTAAAAATTCAAACATTGAGAAAGAACATTTTTAGGATTCCACATAGTTACTAAATACCATTTTAACTTATTATGAGTTAACTTGATTTTTTTAAGCAACACCATATATTAAACGAAAGAGAAATGTACAAAAAGGAGGGAGACAAGACCAATACCCTCTAGAAGAACAACAAAGAAAAAAAGAAAGAAAGAAAATAAAACCAAAACAAAAAGGAATAACTCCTACAAAAGAAACTAGTGAGGTGAACGACTTCAGACACCCACCTTGAATCCTTTGATTGCCTCAGACTACTTATTCATGTTCTTCCTCTTTCTTGAGACTACCAATTGAAATAATTTATTTGTGTTTCCATTCAAATAAGCAATCTCATATTGCTGAGACATGTTAGTCCAAGATTCACTTATTACAATAATATAAACAAAAAAGAGACAATTTTTCATAATCAATCTTAACTAGAAAACATACCTTCTCTTTTAACCCATAATTTATATCTAGTTTTAACATATAAATTAATATCAACTAAAATATTTGTAAAATGTAAAAAAAAAATCTCTCTAAAAAACATTTTTTGTTGAATTGACGGATAAGTAGATTGATCTGCACTCACCAATAACTCTAAATACATATGTTCCATAACAATTTAGATTATTTTTTTAAATAATCACTTTTTTCAAAAAAAAATTCCCAAATAACCACATTTTCAAAATTTTTACCAAAATAACCACTTTTTAAACAAAAAAATTTCGCCACACAGAGGAGGCGCCACTCTGTGTGACGCATGCACACAAATTAAAGAGGAGGCGCCATACTGCATGGCTTGTCCTCCTCTATAAAGCCATGTAGTGTGGCACATGCATGTGTTTTTGAGAGGAGGCGCCACCCTCCTTGGCTTGACAATGTAATTGGAATTTTCTATAAATACAACCATCCATCCTCTTCATTTTTCCACACCACTTGTTACATAACTCTTAGAAAATGTCTTCAACTCCCTTGCCAAAGTTTTCACTGATCAAAAGAGATGCGCATGTTATTTTTTCAGCGACAAAGCCTCTGGTGAAGATCAAACTCTGGACCACACAGACGTTCGAGCATTTTCAGAGGCACTTGATTCACTGGTTTGAAGGAGACATTCCTGAAGGTGAACAAATCAGAAAAATAGAAAGGCACATCACAGTGAGGAATGAAAATGGAGTAAGCCGATCATGGAAAAATGTGAGATGTGACGCTGATGTCATGATGATGATGCTTGGACCATAGGATATTGTGTTGATGGTATTTATCTCTTAGATGTTATGATTTGTTTAGTTGTTTTGTCTATTTATCATGTTGTCGTATTGTTGTCCTGAATATGTGGTGTTGTAATTTTTGTGTCGTGATGTGAAAGTTGTTGTAATCGAATGATAAATTGAACACGAAATGATAACTCAAATTTAAATTGAAATATATTGCATACAACAAATTAAACACTCCAAATAGTTTGCTATTAAAAAGTTATGTTTCAGAGCTAGACTCAATATTCAGACAATTTTTTCGATTGTGTCTGGGAAGACGACATATACCGCATAATCTTATCATTTTGTTGGTCGTATCCATTTCAGTTCTAATACGAGTGCTTTTCGGGCGCCCCTTTTTCTTCCATCGCATTTGTTCATTGTGCAAAACAATGTCCCCTTCATAAGCAGGCCAGTAATCCTCCTTTGCCAACACGGAGAAGGTATTGATGTACACACTTAAAACGCTCTTTACCGTGACACGGGGGATATATGTTGTATTAGGTCCAAGCGAACATGCGAACATGCCGCTATGACATGAGAGAAAGGCATGCGAAATGCTTGAAACTTTCCGTAATCACACCAACCTCTATCTAGTTCGACTCGATAATATCCCCTTTGCCTTCCCTCATTATAATCCAGTGTCTCTTGTACATTTAACCAACCTTTAATACGGTCAAACACGGTGACACTATGGGTGTTTGCTTTTGCAGCCTCCTCGTTAAATGTTTTCATCGTGCATTCACTGAACAACTGCCCTAATTGTAACACTGCCCTCCATTTTGAACTTCTTGTGTCAAACAATGAACCCATTCTAAAATATGTTGCTCTAACCAAAGCAGTAATTGGTAGGTTTCAGATGCCTTTGAATACAGAGTTCAATGATTCTACCAGATTTGTTGTCATGTGACCCCATCGTTGACCATTGTCAAATGCCCGAGTCTACTTCTCCACTGGAATGTTATCGATCCACCTTAATTCTTCTGAGTTTACCAACCGGATTTCTTCGCGATAGTATCAGAATGACGATTCTGTTAAGGCATACCCTGCATTAATAACTTTCTTTCAAAGTGTCTTGTCTTTGATATGGAGCATGAAGTTTTTTGTGATATGTCTAATGCAATAGACATGTGTCGAAGGGGGATCCTGCTAACCGTTATCAGGGTTATTGTATGCACTCATAATTGATGAATGTCTGTCTAAAATCAAACAAAGGTTGGGTTGTGGAGCAACGTGTAATCGGAGATTCTTCAGAAAGAAATTTCATGCACCACCTGTCTCACCTTCAACTAGAGCGAAGGCAATCGGAAAAACATTATTGTTCCCATCTTGTGCCACTGCCATGAGTAATGTTCCTTTATACTTCCCGTATAACCAAGTTCCATCAATCTGTATAATAGGTTTGCAAAATGCAAAACCCTTGATGCATGGTTCAAACGCCCAGAATAATCGATGAAATATTCCATTTCCACTAACACGAGTTCTGTCTGGGGTAAAAGCCGAAAGTGTCTCCAAAATTATAACACTTCCCGGAGCATAATATTTGAGTGCCACCAAAAATCTTGGAAGTTCTTTGTACGATTCCTCCCAATTACTGTACACAAGTTCAACTACCTTAGTCCTCCCGATCCATGCCTTCCTGTAAGAGGGAGTATAATTGAATCTCATAGTGATATGAGAAATAATTGTACTCACCTTTAATGATGGATCTTTGCTAATAAGAAGCAAGATTTCTTGACATATTAGTTGAGAACTAAGTTTCCGATGATCCTGTGTCGAAACGGTGGTGATGCAAGTGTGGAGTGGATCAATGGAACCTATTTCCCATGAATCACTTCTCTTTCTGTAAGATGCAGTTAACCGAAAAGGACAAATTGGTTTTTGACGACATAAAATAACGTACCTCCCTGAATTATTTTCATCTACAGTGAAGTCAACTAAAATTTCCATGTGGTATTTTTTTATAGCTCTAAGGCACTCTTCTTTTGTTCGAAATTTGTCTCCAACTTTCAAGGCCCCTTCGGTCTGCATATAAAGATCGCGAAAGATATCTGAGGCTGGTTTAAATATTTTTAGTTTTTTTTTATTTTATTTAAATTTTTTTTTCAATTACACTGTCAAGTCAAGGAGGGTGACGCCTCCTCTAAAAAACACATGCATACGCCACACTGCATGGCTTTACAGAGGAGGACAAGCCATGCACTCTGACGCCTCCTCTTTAATTTGTGTGCATGCGCCACACAGAGTGGCGTCTCCTCTGTGTGGCGAAATTTTTTTGTTTGAAAAGTGGTCATTTTGATAAAATTTTTGAAAATATAATTATTTGAGAATTTAAAAAAAAGTAATTATTTAAAAAAAAATTCAACAATTTATCTACAAATATAAAAGATTGTAAGTTTACAAATAATTATTACTATATTCATTTAATCAAAATCAGAAGTGAACTCAAAATCTCATTAAAATAACATTGAAAAAAGAAAAAAGAATATAAAAATCAATTTATTCATTAACTATAAGTTCAACATAGGAAAATATTATAGACTACTAGTACTACTATTCTTCTGTATTCCTCTCTGCTTTGGCGCCATACTCTCTCTCTCTCTCTCTCATTCTTGTATGCTCTTCTTAGTACTTTATTAATGTGCGTTTCTTTCTTCCATAAAGATCTTCTTATTGTACTATATTTATATCTCATCACATCACGTTCCTAACGCTCTGTGCTCTTTTCTCTCTCTGTCCCATCCACTTTTGCAACCAAAACAAACCCTAAAGTGTTTTTTCTTCTTCTTTTCTTTTGTTATTGTTCTTGTGTTTGTCGCAATGAATGGTGTTTCGAGTAGAACTCGGAGTAAGAATGTTCCGCTCTTCGGTAGTATTCCATTTCATGGGTCATGTGCGTGTTCGTTGAAAACTAAGCGTAGAAAAAGTGATATGGGTTTGAGCTCTAAAAAAAGAAAGACAAATAAAGAGCCTTTTGTGTTGCATGGACATGTTGATGTTATTTTCATTGACAGTGACGAGGAAGGAGATCAAGAGTCGTTGAAATATTGTGATAAGAAATTTTCTGAGGCTAGTGTGGAACAAGTTGATAATGGTGATGTGGATGGGTTGGAGGATTGTGAAAGAAACAACTTTGAGGTTGACGACATTGATGTTAAAAATGAGGAACAAAGTGGAGATATTGTTGATAATGGTGGTCAAGGAGGGTTGGAGGATTGTGAAAAAAACGGTTTAGAGGGTTGTGTTGGTGTTAAGAATGAAGTAGAGAGTGAGGAAAATGGAGGAATGGGTGAGTTAGCTGAAAAAGATGAAATCTTTGACGATGAAAAGCGTGGTTTGATATCTGATGGTGTTTCGAGTCGTACTCGGAGCAAGAATGTTACGCTTTTCGGTAGTATTCCATTTCATGGGTCATGTTCGTGTTCGATGAAATCTAAGCGTAGAAAACGTGATATGGGTTTGAGCTCTAAAAAAAGGAAGCCAAGTGAAGAGCCTTTTGTGTTGCATGAACAAGATAATGTTATTTTTATGGATAGGGATGAGGAAGGAGATGAGAAGTGGTTGAAATCTTCTGATAAGAAATTTTCTGAGGCTTGTCTTGAACAAGTTGATAATGGTGATGATGGTGATTTGGAAGGATTGGAAGATTGTGAAAGAAACAAGTTTGAGGGTAGTGATGGTGATGCTGGTGAAGTTGGAGATGAGGATTGGTTGGGGTATTTGGATAAGAATAAATTTGATGGTGGCGTTGGTGTTAAAAATGAGGAACAAAATGGAGATATTGTTGATAATGTTGGTGAAGGAGGGTTGGAAGATTGTGAAATAAGCCGTTTAGAGGGTTGTGTGGGTGTTGAAAATGAAGTAGAGAGCGAGAAAAATGGAGGAATTGGTGGTGATTTAGTTGAAAAAGATGAGATCTTTGATGATGAAAAGTGTGGGTTGATATCTGATAACATGATTATAGATTCCCATGATGATGGTGATGATGAAGGAGGGTTGAAAGATTGCGAAAATAATAGTGTTGAGGGTTGTGTTGGTGTTGAAAATGAAGTAGAGATCGAGAAAAATGAAGGAATTGGTGACTTAGTTGAAAAAGATGAAAACTTTGACGATAAAAAGTGTGGCTTGACATCTGAAAACCCCATTATAGATTCTGATGATGATGATGATGATGATGAAGATGAATCTGATGATGATGATGATGAATCTGATGATGATGATGATGATGATGGTGATGAAGATGATGAAAGTGAAGAAATAGAGATTAGTGATGAAGAATTTCAAGTTGGTGAGGTGAATGAAGTTTCTGACAGTGATGATAGCAGTTCTTATGCTGTTGATGATGATAATGGTGACGAGAAAGAAGCGAAGAAAAAGGGTTGGGAGGAGAATGAGGAGGAGAAGAACATGGATTGGGAGGAGGAGGTGGTGGCAGAGGAGAAAGAGGTAGTGGACTTGAAAATGGTTTGGCAAGAACATGACAATGGGCTGGAAGAGATGGTGAGAGAGGCCAAGGGTTATTTTGTTCCGAATGATGAATTGGAGCATGCAGACGACGATAATGTAAGAACCTCTAACGTCTTAAAGAAAAAGGGTTCTTTTGTTCCAATGGAGGCTCCTTCTTCTTCTAAATTGCATCAAGCATTAGAGACACCGATGATGAAAGTGAAAAATGTGTCTGGTGATGATGATAATGTATATGTTGGCAAAACCAGGTCCAAGTCCAAATTCAAAGCCAAAGAAAGTGTGATTATTGATGAAGAAAAAATGCAATATGTTCAAGGTTTAGGTGTTGATGATGAAAGTGGTTCTTCTATTCAAACAAAACAGAAGGAGATGAAGAGTTCAGAGAAACAGAAAATCACAGAGATGAAGGGAAGGGATTATAAAAGTAGAGCTAATGCCGGTAGTGGCGAGAAGAAGGAATCCATGGATAAAAATGGTTTGAATCAGAGGGGAAAAAGCACAGTTTTTAGGCCGAAGGAGTTGCGTTTAGTGGAACTCCTTGCTGAATACTATTGGGGAAACAAGAATAATAAAACTCAGAATGATTCACCTGTGTTGGAGATGAAAGATGTTATTCGGCATGATAAACATCCACCACCGATTTGTAACGAGACAGCTCCATTGATATGGAGCCTTAAAAAGGTGGAGAAAGTGCAAAAGACCAAGAACGAGGAGGAGGAGGAAGTACTATGGGATCAAATAGAGACAACCCTTAGAGAACTTGAAGCTGAATCCATGGTGATCCTTCTCTTTAACAACATTTAAAGTTTGAACTAAAGGATTAGTACTTAAGCTGATATTGATTTTTAATTTAAATTGTTTATATGCTTAAACTTTAGTCTAAATGATATCTATAAATGATATCAATGAGATATATAAGGAGAAATCAGTAGAAGTGACTAACTACATGTGTTACTATCCGCAGATTGGACATTTGGGGAACAATGAAGCTGCTCAGGAAAAGATTGGAAGTCCATTCTCAGACTGTGAACATGACATCTATCTCGACGAAGAGATTGGTGTATATTGCAGGCGGTGTGGTTGGGTTGTCACTGATATTAAAGATGTCTCACCACAAGTGGTAAGCATGGTCTCTGATGTTGATTTATATAGTTTGATTTTATTATGATTTATGGTATTATTCTGTCATGTATTTTCCATTTAGTAGTGGAATAGAACCTTAGTTCTTGTATGGTTGTTCTGATTTAATAATGGGATACGTTGGTAGGAGCCCTGAGTTTTTGCATACTTGTTTTTGTATGTGACACAGGTTGATAAATTTCCCTATGAAGGTTCGGGACAAAGGGCTTCGTTTGGTGATGCAAATGTCTCACATTTTCACGACTCGCAGTTCAGTGTTTCTGATCATGACTCGGGGACTACTTTCTCTCACGATGAAAGAACAGTTTGGGACCTAATTCCTGATGTAAAACAGACCTTATATTCTCACCAACAAGAAGGTTTTGAGTTCATTTGGAATAAGTTAGTAGGAAACATCGAGCTTCAAGGGCTAAAGAACGCCAATCTTCAAAGGGAGGGTGGTTGCATTATTTCTCATGCTCCTGGAACTGGAAAGACAAAGCTGACAATAATGTTTCTCAAGGCTTATTTAAAAGTTTTTCCAAAATGCTTGCCGGTCATTGTGGCTCCTGCTGGTTTGTTGCTTACTTGGGAAGACGAATTCAAAAAATGGGACATAGGTGTTCCATTTCACAATTTGAACAATCTTGAGTTATCTGTTAAAGAACATGATGATGTTGTAAATGCAACTAACTGGTCTAATACACGGCGGCATAGTACGGACGAGACACGAATGGCTAAACTGGTTTCATGGTTCAAAGAAACGAGCATCCTAGGAATCAGTTACAGTTTGTTCAAGGAGCTAGCAGGTGGAGAAGGTGAATGCAAAGATAAGAAAAAGAAAAAACAGAAGAGAAAAGAAAACAGTTATATGAGAAAGGCTTTGCTTGAAGCTCCTGGTTTGTTGGTTCTAGATGAAGGACATACTCCAAGAAACGCAAGAAGTCGTGTTTGGAAGGTGTTGTCAAAAATTCAAACAAAGAAGCGAATTATGCTTTCTGGAACTCCTTTCCAGAATAATTTCTTGGAATTGTACAACACTTTCAGCATAGTGAAGCCTTCTTTTCCTAACACGATACCGCCCAAGCTGAAAAAGTTTTGCCAGAAACGTAAGAGAGCAGCAACAGAATGGAGTTGGGAACCGGTTACTGGAAACAGTACATCACGAAACCCTTCTAATGATAAGATCAAGCATTTGAAGTTGCTAATGGATCCCTTTGTTCATGTTTACAAAGGCGCTATTCTTCAAAAGAAGCTTCCCGGGTTAAGAGATTGCGTGCTTCGTTTGTGGCCGGGTAGTTTTCAGAAACAAATTCTTGAGTGCATTAAAAGTTCTCAGAACATATTGCACTTTCAGCATAAGCTGATACTGGCATCGGTCCATCCGGCTCTATTCCTCGAATGCAAACTTTTGGAAGAAGAAGAATCTGTTGTCGACAAGGAACAGCTTGAAAAACTTAGATTGGATCCATATGTCGGTGTCAAAACAAAATTTTTGGTGGAGCTTGTAAATCTTTGTGTTGCTGTTAATGAAAAAGTTCTTGTCTTTAGCCAATTCATCCCCCCTTTACGCTTAATTGTTGAGCAATTAAACTCAATCTTCAATTGGGCCGAGGGGAAGGAAATACTCTACATGGATGGCACGACTGATCTGAAGGAAAAGCAGTCTTTAATCCATAACTTCAATGATGCAAACGGCCAAGCTAAGATTCTACTTGCATGTACGAAAGCTTGTTCCGAGGGAATTAGCTTAGTTGGAGCCTCAAGGGTTGTGCTACTTGATGTTGTATGGAATCCTTCTGTCGAGCGACAGGCTATCAGTAGAGCATATAGGATTGGACAAAAGAGAGTTGTGTACACGTACCATCTGCTAACGCACGAGACTTTCGAGTGCGTCAAATATTTTAAACAGGCTGAAAAGGACCGGTTGTCTGAACTAGTATTTTCAGATAATGACAAGGGCAAAAACCGTGCGGTGAACTTTGAAGATGGTATTCTTGATCTAATGCTTCAACACGAAAAACTTAAAGACATGTTTTTTGAGTGTGTGGTACAGCCGAAGGAAAGAGATTTGGTCGAGAGTTATTATTATTGATCATGATGAATGTCCAAGGTAAAATAATTTGTGGTGGTTGATCTTATTTCTACCATTTTGATTAGATTTATATGTCACTGTTTTGTTTTATTCAGTTCATGCTTCTTCTAATGTAATTTTATTTGGTTTTGCAGATTCTTCAACATTGCTCACTCTGCAAAACAAGTTCCTGTGATGCTCACTTTATCTGTTGTTATTATTATTACTGTTACATGGAAGTAAATATCTAAACTACTCTACATGGTGGAAGCTAGTGAATTACTACTATGATGATGCATTGGCAATTTGGCATCATGAACATAAATGGTCGATTTTTGATAGAGTTAGAATTTTAATGAAATTCCATTTTGGGGCGTTTTCTTGCTGAACAAGATTCATTTATTTTGGTTTTTATTTCAATATGGTGTTGATGTTGTTATAAGGTATTCTGTTTAACTTTTGTCTACTTTTAACCTACTAAGACTCAAGCATAAGAATAACAAATTTTGCATCATTGAAAGTATACTTTTAACCTACTAGGACTCATTCTAGTAAGTTTAGAATCTAAACTTTAGAATTTTAAGGAGGAATAGAGAGGAAAAAATAATAAAATCTTTCACATTTTTTAAAATAGCATTTTAATAGTGTTAAAGAATATTTTGTTATTGATATAATTTTAATTTTAAAATATTATATTACTATATATTGATTTTTTTTTTACTAAATCACTATGTATTGAATTAAAAGTATTTATCTAAACCTTTTAAAATTCTTCTCTAATATAATTTTTGAGTTTTCTTTTTGGTAGAATTTTGAAGAATTGAAAAAAAGACAGTATATAATAATGATTGAACATAATTTATGTTTTTTAATATTTTTAAAATTATGTTAAGATAAACATTCATTTATTATTATCTATAAAAGTATGCTTTTTAAAAGTATGAAAGTTTCTATTTTAATCCATTACCTATTTTGCCAAAGTCTTCGTACCAAACTTGCAATCAATCTTAATGATATATTAAAAAAAAATTGTTTTTGAAAAAAGTTTTTCTTTTAAGAATTGAATGTGTTCTATACCGGTCAAAGATTCAATTGACTGAGACTCATTCCATCTCAAGCTCATTCTACTCGATCAAATATATAAAAACAATTCACATGCGATGAGAAGGTTCACAATCTCTGATCTCAAATTGTTACACCCAAGACACAAAAGCTTTGGAAACAAATACTACAAAGCAAGAAGGAAAGCATGCCGAAGCGTTTGAAGCCGAAGCACCAGGACTATCTCTCTAGTTCACCCGAAAACAAATTTAAACGAATCCAGAGCCTCGGGAGAAATCATAGCGTTATGGAAGAACTTACTTGCCTGCTCCACAACTTGTTCTCGGACTTCGAACACGTCCCACATAGTCTTTTGAAGAGCACTATGGAGCACCCGCCTCTGGCCGACCACCTCCTCCTAGAGAGCTTTCGCGACATCCATATACTTTCGTTGCTCCTTCACCTGACGAGCCTTCTCCTCAACAGAGTTAAAAGGAACCTCGTATCTCTTCTTTGCATCTCGGAGAGAACCCTTCAGTCCATTCATCTGAGCTTTCATGGTAGAAGGGGGACCATGTACTTTCAATGCCTCTTGTGGAGAGTTTGCAACTTCAACTTCCTTTCCCAGAGTAATAAGCTCCTTCTGAAGGTTGGTGCACTTCATCTCCACAACTCCAGACTTATCTTTTCAAGTATCTCTCTCCTTGAAAGGACTACCTGACCCCAGAGATCACCCTCTCCAGCATAAACAAGAGGAAAATAGAAGCAGCTTTAAGCATGTCGTAAGCAAGCTTTAAAGTCATTTCCATCTTACCCCATTGAGAATATTATGGACGAAGGATAAATCTGATGTCAAGGCAATAACAACGGCCTCCTTAGGAGTGAGCGAAAGTCAGGAAGAGAAAATGACTGGTATCTTTATAAAGGGAGTTACCTCCCCGGAGTTAACCCTCATCTCCTCCTCTTACAAGACGCGAGGGAGCATAATGACCTCAATGTGGGTTGTTCTTCTACCAACATTCAATATAAAGAGCATCTAACAATCCAGAAGAAGAAGTTTCTTCCTCCAAGAAAGTCTCAAATATCCCTTCTTACCCAAAATCGTAAGATACTGACACAATTTCTGGTCCAACGTGATCACTATTAAGAGAAGGATGATGAGAATCATGGGCGATTGGGAGGAAATTTCCATCTCCGAGTCACTCACTAAATCGACAGTGTTATCACTCATCTTAACTAAAGAAACATCAAATGTTGAAGGAGAAACATGAGTTAGAAGTGTATCTGGTTAAAAGAGATTGATGAAATAGGAGAAATGAAAAGGAAAAAGCTTTAAGTGAAGCTTTGAGTCACTCCTAGATTTAAGTAAAAAGGAATGAGGATGTTTCTTTAAAAATGTAACTGAAAGCTCGAAAGCTAAAAGGTTGCAAAAACTTCCAAATATTCAACTCACTCTATTTATAAGCAATGACAGCTGAAGGGTCAAGACTAACTATGAAAATATATCTCAAGATCAACGACTAGATTTTCACTCATAGATACACGCCAACTAGAATTCACTCAATTACTCTCTAAAGTTGCGCCATACCCTAGCTAGTCACGTCACCACACATGTCTGGAATGAATAGAAAAACATTTCGTCTATAGGACCGCATTAAATGCACTTGCTCCCCATTACTCTTCACAAAACTGATCCCAAGTGATTCAACTCTATCTCACCTTGGACTACGACATAGTCGCTGATCAATGATACTTAAGACCCCCCTACTCCTTCAGTGCCCGACAAAGCCTTGGAAAAACTATTCTGGACAGGCCAAAGGCTTCAAGTGCTTCAACTTCAACTACACATTTCGTAAGTGTTTTAATCAAAGTGTTTTTGTCTCTTCATGCATTAACAAATATGTACTTAGGTTGTGTAGAAAACATTACCATATATGTATTTACACTCGTTGTTAGGTAGTTTGTTGAGCCATGTATTTCGTGTCATTTTTCATTTTTCCTACGTTTCTGCCATTTTTGAATTTTCTATGTTTAAGAAAATTACAGAAGTTAACTTTTGTATTTTCATGAATTTGATTTTTCAAAAATATGAAAATGCACTTCTTATTATGCTTGTATTGTTTGATTTTAAATGTCTTTTACCTAGGATTGGTTTTGTCTACTTTGTTTGGTTTGTCTTATTTAATTACAAGTAACATTGTTGACAACCAAGAAAGATTAAGGCACATTAGAGTATCTCAACATACATATGTTTGTACGGAAAGCACCTGGTCGTTGTGACCATCAGGTGTAACACCCCGATTCTACCCCAATCGGTAAATATAATAATCAGAGTTACATAATTCACAGCCAAACTAGGACGCTACAATTACAGCTTAAAAACCATTGCATTCAACATAGATACATAACACTTTAAAACTTCGGATGAACCAATAATAAATTAATCTTTTAAACCAACAATTTGAATAACTACGCAGCAGAATCGTAATAACATCTTTGTCCAACGTTAAAACAACTTCAAAATAACAAGTACTTAACAACAACCAACTTAAAATTCAACAACTGAAATAACAATAAAACAGCAAGCGTTCATCCCCCCAAGTGTTACGTATCAGAGCAAAGACATCGACTCGAACTACTAAAGGTATACCGCCTTCACTCTGGGTTACCTGCACGTTACCAATATCAGGGTAACATTCAAATAGAAGGGGTGAGATATCTAATAATATAAATGAATGTATGATAAATATTACATTAGAATCAGTTCATATATATTCACCACTTCTCAAGTTTTAACATCATAACCATAATCAAATCAATCGTACAACGACTCAGAATGCAATACATGATGCAGTTCGTCTTTATGCAAGTGCATGTGGTACCAGTGGAGCAGAACTCCCATCTTAAAAATCTGCCAATAAATAGAGGCATCAAGGCATAAACCTTCTTCGCAGTTTTCCAATCCAGACCATCACAGAGTATGCAAATGTATGTGACTCAATGAATGCACTATCACATACTCACAATAATCATCATTCATCGCAAGGCATAAGCCCACATCACCATTATTACCAGTAAATAGAGGTAACTCATCATTATTTAAATTTTCCTGCAACTTTGCATTATCAACAAGGATTCACAGTGGCAATCACAACAACACGACAACTCAACATAAATCAACCAGGGCCATAAGCCTAACAATTCAATACCACCGCATCGACTAAAATATACAACAAGTATTCCATAAAATTATTCGGATAATTCAACTATACCAGCTTAATAATTATCTGCTAAAATTACTACTCTTTCTTCTATGTACTACTATTATCAAACCCACAATAAGGTGTGCCTAGCGGCACACTCCCATTCCTCTCCCATGTGCCTAGCGGCACACATCATCCCTCTCTCATCATGTGCCACTCGACACATTCACACACACAGGGTGCCGCTCGGCACCCCTTTCCATATCGGGCGTCACCTTCCGAGTGCCTCTTGGCACACTTCTTCCAATACTTGTTTTCTACGTAAATTTCTCCAGAAAATTCTTAAGGAAGTAAGTTTTTTTGAAATTGAGTTTTCTATTTTTTAATTTTGATAACATAGATATTTCATGTGACTTTTGTGTTTCCACACATGTACAGATCTCATTGGCAATTAATAATCATTTGTCTAAGAGACAATATTGTTGTCGTCTTTTGTTCATTTTATTGGGAAATTAATCAAATCACGAAGAAAATTATTACAAGGTAAGTTTTTCCGTTGTGACTTTTGTTATAATATATTATATATCCTGTATACATAAATTGTTACAAAAGTAATTTCCTATTTTACGTGGCTTTATATGGATTTTTTTTTGAATTAGTGCTTTTGGGGTTCATCAAATGACAAATGGAAATAGAAAAAAAGGCTACATGGCTTCATCCTAATGTAAGTGTGATGTACATTACAAATCTATATTTAACTTTATGTCAAGTATTCACTAATTATGTCATTTATTTGTCTAGACAAGAAGACAACATAACTCTAATGATTGTGGATACTATGTGATAAAAAATATGTTGGATATTGTCTCTGCCAATATAACTGATTCTTGGATGCAAGTAATAATTGTTTTTTTTCCTTTTATAGTTACTTTGCGTTTTGCAACTTAATGTGAATTTTTAAAGAATAACTCTATATTATTATTTACGCATTGTAGGTATTTGATGACCCAACGGAATTAACACAATTTGTATGATTTGCGACTCCGTTGGGCAAAATGTTTCTTTGAGTTATATAAAAATTAAGCTTGAACTAATGAGTTATATAGAATTGTCTATACATATCTGATTTGAGTTTTTTGATTTTGGTGTTGTCTGCTGATGTTAATTGGTGTTATTATTTATTGTTAGCAGATGTGGTTTTGGTGTTGTCTACTGACGCTACAACTCACCTTCTTGTGGATTGCATGTTGGTATTTCAAGTGTGGATATTTTTGTATAATTTCATTGATTTTGCTCTTGTGGTAATCACCTTTTGTAAACTTCCTTATAATTTTGTACACTTGTGTAACCTAGATTAGTACTGTTATAACTCAATGGTTCGTTTTGAATAATACATATGTGCATCCTAGATATTTGGTGCAATGAAATTATCATTTACCGGTTAGAAAAATATGAAATTAGCGACCTAAATATGGTCAGTGTTATGTGATAAAAATATGAAAAAAAGTTACCTAAATATGTCTTGTGATGTTGGAAAAATATGAAAAATTAGATTTAAATAAATAAATTCCGAGAATGCACCTGATTTAGTTAAATATGACATATTAAACAAATATTTTACATCGGCTATATTAAGCAAATCGATGTAAAAAACAATTTATTACATCGGTGGATCAAAGAAACCGATGTAAAAGCTTGCATTTTTTTTTAATTTTTTTTATATCAGTTCTAATAACTAACCAATATAATAGGTTGAGTTTTTACTATATCGCTTGAATTTACATCGGACCAAGACCCGGTGTAAAAAGTATTTTTCGTCCGATGTAAAATGTATTTCCTGCACTAGTGACTACTGCAACCATTGTGCATGTATATGAATTCTATGGAGCGGTATTGGAAAATCCATAAGCTGGACTAAAATAACAAAAATATCACCAATAAATATGTTCCTAAAAAAAAGATTCTATTTAGAAAAATTTTGTGGACACAACAAAAGAGTGAAGATTTATTGGTAGACTCTTTGGCAGATAGCTTGTTGATCAAGAATAGATTTGATAATCTATTTTAAACTAATGAAAATGTTAAGAAAGTGACTGAAGCTACAAATTCTATTAATGATGAAGATAATAGTTAAGAATACTATGTGGTTGAGGATAATAACATTTTGGTTAAAGATGCCAACTCTTTGGATGAGGATGACAACACTGTGATTAAGGATGCTAACTCTGGTCAAACAAAGAGGATGTCTTTGGCAAAGGCATAGAGGAAATTCCAAACACTTTTCTCCCTCTCTAGAACCAGAAAGCACTAAAGATAGAGACCACCTGAGCATCTGGCATAGAGGATGTCTCTGGACCAGTTGGATAAGTTGGATACTTGCAGGTGTCATGAAAGGATCTATCGGTGGCTGAAACAACCCATTCATTGTAGCTTTGAAGTTATGAGTATGTTGGGTGATGGAAAATACTAAGTGGCCGTGTGCGATAAACCATGTTTCTTTGTTAATTATTAGTTTAAGTTGCAGTGAATCTTATTTGACGAGGATTGTTCACATATATGGTCGAGATGATAAGTTTTGTGTTTGTTTTCCACTGATAAACTGTGTTTGTTTTTTCTCACTTTAGTTGCACCTCTTCTTTGATTGGAAACCCGAAAGGTGGCAAAAATGAACGATGAATGGATACGGAGGCTAATGAATGCAACGAAGATGGTATGACCTCGAGTTAATGCAATCGAAAATCATATATAAAAGATAGGATGCAGAAGCGAAAGGCACTCACAGTCCAAAACAAGAGAAGGACATAAAGGAATTACAATAAATGGATGTGTGAAATGAAAAATGCAATCCCATATTTTATGGGTTAAAGCATTTTATTCATGCAAGAAGGAAGGTTGCAAGATGATTAATGCATATAGTATGCATGAGAAGCAAATTGCCAATGCATCATAGTAACCACTAGCTGTCACCATTAGTAGAGTAGTTCAGATATTTATTAAGTACAACCAAAATAAATGTATCTTGTTCAGCAAGCAAACTCCCCAAAATGGAATTTCATTGAAATTCTAACTATCAAAAATCGACCATTTATGTTCATGATGCCAAATTGCCAATGAATCATAGTATTAATTCACTAGTTTCCACCAGGTAGAGTAGTTCAGATATTTACTTCCATGTAACAGTAATAATAATAACAACCGATAAAGTGAGCATCACAGGAACTTGTTTTGCATAGTGAATAAAGTTACATTAGAAGAAGCATGAACTGAATAAAACAAAACAGTGACAAATAAATATAATCAAAATGGTAGAAATAAGATCAACCACCACAAATTATTTTAACTTGGACATTCATCATGATCAATAATAATAACTCTCGACCAAATCTCTTTCCTTCGGCTGTACCACACACTCAACAAACATGTCTTTAAGTTTTTCGTGCTGAAGCATTCGATCAAGTATACCATCTTCAAAGTTCACCGCATGGTTTTTTCCCTTGTCATTATCCGAAAATACTAGTTCAGACAACCGGTCCTTTTCGGTCTGTTTGAAATATCGGACACAATCGCTAGTCTCGTGCATGAGCAGATGGTACGTGTACACGACTTTCTCTTGTCCAATCCTATATGCTCTACTGATAGCCTGTCGTTCGACCGAAGGATTCCACATAACATCAAGTAGCACAACCCTTGAGGCTCCAACTAAGCTAATTCCCTCGGAACAAGCTTTCGTACATGCAAGTAGAATCTTAGCTTGGCCGTTTGCATCATTGAAGTTATGGATTAAAGACTGCTTTTCCTTCAGAGCAATCATGCCATCCATGTAGAGTATTTCCTTCCCCTCGGCCCAATTGAAGATTGAGTTTAATTGCTCAACAATTAAGCGTAAAGGGGGGATGAATTGGCTAAACACAAGAACTTTTTCATTAACAGCAACACAAAGATTTACAAGCTCCACCAAAAATTTTGTTTTGACGCCGACATATGGATCCAATCTACGTTTTTCAAGCTGTTTCTTGTCGACAACAGATTCTTCTTCTTCCAAAAGTTTGCATTTAAGGAATAGAGACGGATGGATCGATGCCAGTATCAGCTTATGCTCAAAGCTTAAAATGTCCTGAGAACTTTGAATGCTCTCAAGAATTTGCTTCTGAAAACTGTCCGGCTTCAAACGAAGCACACAATCTCTTAACCCGGGAAGCTTCTCTTGAAGAATCGCGCCTTTGTAAACATGAACAAAGGGATCCATTAGCAACTTCAAATGCTTGATCTTATCATCAGTAGGATTTCCTGTTGTACTGTTTCCAGATTCGTTTGCTGCTTTCTTATGTTTTTGGCAAAACTTTTTCAGCTTGGGCGGTATCGTGTTAGGAAAAGAAGGCTTCACTATGCTGAAAGTGTTGTACAATTCCAAGAAATTATTCTGGAAAGGAGTTCCAGAAAGCATAATTCTCTTCTTTGTTTGAACATTTGACAAGACCTTCCAAACACGACTTCTTGCATTTCTTGGCGTATGTCCTTCATCTAGAACCAACAAACCAGGAGCTTCTAGTAAAGCCTTTCTCATAGAACTGTTTTCTTTTTTCTTATTTTCGGATTCCCCTTCTCTGCCTGCTAGCTCCTTGAACAAACTGTAACTGATTCCCAAAATGCTTGTTTCTTTGAACCACAAAATGAGTTTAGCCATTCGTGTCTCGTCCCTACTATGCCGCGGTGTATTAGACCAATTAGTTGCATTAACAACATCTTCATGCTCTTTAACAGATAACTCAAGATTGTTCAAATTGTGAAATGGAACACCTATGTCCCATTTTTTGAATTCGTCTTCCCAAGTAAGCAATAAACCCGCAGGAGCCACAATGACAGGCAAGCATTTCGGAAAAAGTTTTAAATAAGCCTTGAGAAACATTATTGTCAGCTTTGTCTTTCCAGTTCCAGGAGCGTGTGAAATAATGCAACCACCCTCCCTTTGAAGATTGGCTTTCTTTAACCCTTGAAGCTCGATGTTTCCAACTAACTTGTTCCAAATAAACTCAAAACCTTCTTGTTGGTGAGAATATAAGGTTTGTTTTACATCAGGAATCAGGTCCCAAGCTGTTCTTCCATCGTAAGAAAAATTAGTCTCGGAGTCATGTTCAGAAACATTGAAGTGGGAGTCATGAAAGTGTGAGACATTTGCATCACCAAATGAAGCCCTGTGTCTCGAACCTTCATAAGGAAATCTATCAACCTGTATCACATATACAACACAGACCAATAGATTAATGCAAATCAGTATTTCAACAAATGACCGATCGCAAACAATTCCGCTAAACTACAAAGCTATAGCTGCAATTAGACCACACTTTGCATTTAATTGTGTATTACATCACAACAATGTTTTGCCCAAATGTTGCTAATCACAAGATAGTATTTATATAAATCAACATCAGAGACCATGCTTACCACTTGTGGTGAGACATCTTTACTATCAGTGACAACCCAACCACACCGCCTGCAATATACACCAATCTCTTCGTCGAGACGAATGTCATGTTCACAGTCTGAGAATGGACTTCCAATCTTTTCCTGAGCAGCTTCATTGTTCCCTAAATTTCCCATCTACAGATAGCAAGATCAGCTTAAGCATTAGTCTTGTAGTTCAAAAATTAAAATGCAAAGTATAAATTTAAATATTCTTAAAGAGGAGGATTACCGTTGATTCAGCTTCTAGTTCTCTAAGAGTTGCATCCATTTGATCCCATAGTGCTTCCTCCTCCTCCTCGCTCTTGGTCTTTTGCACTTTCTCCGTCTTCTTAAGGCTCCATATCAATGGAGCTGTCCCATTACAAACAGGTGGTGGATGTTTATCATGCCGAATAACATCTTTCATCTCCAACACAGATGAATCATTCTGAATTTTATCATTCTTGTTTCCCCAATAGTATTCAGCAAGGAGCTCGACTAAACGCGTCTCCTTCGGCATAAAAACTCTGCTTTGATTCAAACATTTTTTATCCATGGATTCCTTCTTCTCCTCCTGCTTCCAACCCTTTTTCTTCTCTTCTTTCTCATCAACTTTAAATTCTTCATCACTAGTCTCAACTTCCTCACTCTCTTCACTTTCATCACATTCATCTTCTTCATTATCATCATATTCATCATCCTCTGAAACTATAACCGGGTTTTCAGACATCAAACCATACTTTTCATCATTAAAGCTTTCACTTTTTTCACAATCTTCCAACCCTCCTTCACCACCATCATCAACAATATTCTTGTTACGATATCTCAACCAATCCTCATCTCCAACCTCACCAGCATCACCATTATCAACTTGTTCCACACTAGCCTCAGAAAACTTCTTATCACAATATTTCAACGACTCTTGATCTCCTTCCTCGTCACTGTCAATGAAAATAACATCAACATGTCCATGCAACACAAAAGGCTCTTTATTTGTCTTTCTTTTTTTAGAGCTCAAATCCATATCACTTTTTCTACGCTTAGTTTTCAACGAACACGAGCCATGAAGTGAAAGACTACCGAAGAGCGGAACATTCTTACTTCGAGTTCTACTCGAAACACCATTCATTGTGACAAACACAAGAACAATTACAAAAGAAAAATAGAAAGCCTTTAGCTGTGTATGATTTGTTTTGGTTGCAAGAGAGAGAAGCGGAGGACAGAGCGTTATGAATTTATATGAATTTTAACAATTTTGAGTTATACGTAATTGATTATAATATTGTTAAACACTGTTTTATTAGTGCCCCCAACACTTTTGCTCTCCCTAACTTAATTATAAATATTGACCTAATTCTCGTACTCTTAGTTATTCTGCATTCACCTAATCTCAATAAATCTCATAAAATCAAATAAAATCATACTAAATCTCAATAAATCTCATAAAATCACATAACATGTAATATTATCAAAATAATTAATTAAATTATCTAATTAATTAAATAATAGCAATGAAATCCAATTAAATAATTCAATTGAATTTGGGGTGTTACAACAATCCCCTCTTATAGAATTTTTGTCTTTGAAAATTACTTGACGGAAACAGTTTCAGATAAGACTATTTCATTCGGACCTCCACCTCCCACGTCATGCTTCCTCTAGCCGGTCCTCCCCATACTATTTTCATTAGAACGATTTATTTACATCTCAAGGGTTTCACCTCTCGATCATCAATTTGTAATAGTGATGCCTCCATAGTCAAGTTATCTTTCACTTACACATCATCCATTTGAATCATATGAGACGGATCCGATACATACTTCTGCAGTTGAGACACGTGAAACACACTATAAATGTTCGAAAGAGATGGTGGTAAGGAAACTTTGTAGGCCACTTCTTCTACTCTCTTTAAAGTATTATAAGGACCAATGAAATGCGGCGTGAGCTTCAAGATTTCAAAGCACGATCCACACCACTCATTGAAGTGACCCTTAAGAACACATGATTACCCTCTCGAAATTCAAGTTATTTCTTCCGTTTATCATGGTAACTCTTTTGCCTACTCTACGATGCTTTCATCTTCTCCTTAATCAACTTAATCTTCTCAATAATCTGCTGAACAACCTCAGATCCAAGTACAACACTTTCACCAAAATCGTACCAACACAAAGGTGTTCTACACCTCCTACCATACAAAGTTTAAAAAGGAGTCATTCCAATACTAAAATGGTAATTATTGTTATAAGTAAACTTCACCAATGGCAAGTAATTGTCCCAGTTACCTTCCTGCTCCAAAACACAAGCTCTTAGCAAATCCTCCAACACAACTCATAAATGTCCTGCATGTTATTTGTCTGTCTTAGAATACATCAAAATATCATTGATGAACAAACCAACAAACTTATCCAAGTAAGGATGGAAGATTTTATTCATATACTACATAAGCACACATGGGGCGTTAGACACGCCGAGCAACATCACTGAGTACTTGTAATAACCGTATTGAGTTCTAAAAGCAGTCTTTAGGATATCTTCTAACTTTACTCGAATCTGATGATAAGCTGATATCAAGTCAATCTTACTGAAAACACAAGCATCAACTAACTGATTTATAAGGTCATCGATCCTAGGAAGACAATACTTGTTCTTGATCGTAATCTTATTTAGTTGCCTATAGTAAACACACAAACTCATGCTACCATCTTCTTCTTAACCAATAATATTGGCGTTCCCCACAGAGAAACACTAGGTCTGGAAAACTTCTTCTCTAATAATTCTTCTAACTACTTATTCCGCTCTCCCAACTCTAATGCAGACATTTGATAAGGTGTAATCGACACATGACTAGTACCAGGTACTAAGTCTATGGCGAACTCAACTTCTCGCTCCGGCAGCAAGTCACAAATATCTTCAAGAAAAACATCAGGAAAATCACACACCACATGCATATCACTAGCCTCAATGTTTCTATCCACTATCAAGGAAACGAACATCATGAGCATCTGATCATTCTCCCTTAAGGACATCTCGACTTGATCAGCGAACGTGAATCTAGATTTCATTCTCTTATCAGGTTCAAGAAACAACACGGCCTTGTCGAAACTGTTGATATAAACATGGTTGAACTCTAACCAGTTCATTCCCAAAATCACATCGAGTTTACACAAAGGAAAACAAATCAAGTCATCTCCAAAGGCTCTACCATAAATTGTCAAAGGACAATTCAAACACACATGCATAATAATCACTAAAACATTAGTCAGGTATCAATTCATACTACCAATCATATAAGACACTTCTAAATTCAAATGCTTAACACAATCCAGAGATACAAACAAATGTGTCTTACCAGTATCAATAATAGTAATTTGAGAAACACCGTTAATGATACACGTACCTCGAATCAAATTATCCGTATTTGAGACATCCTCACCAATAAAAGTGAATACTTTCCCACTTGATTGAGCTTTCTTCAGCATTTGGTACTGAGTACTGACATGTCTTGGTTCTCCATAGTTGTAGCAAGTCAGAACGATACTCTTACACTCAATAGCATAGTATCTTGGCTTCCCACACTTGAAACACTTCTGACCAGATCTCTTGCATTCATTAGCATGATGACTCATATCTCCATAATTGAAACATCTCACAGGAGTAGACACTCTTACCCCACTTTGCTCTTTCCCACCTGCAAATTTGTGTTGGAACTTCTGATTCCCGCTCTTCTTCTCACTAACACTCTTGTAGTGAGAAGATCTGGAACGACTATCTTCATCAAAGATCATGCATTTGTTAACCAACACTGAGAACTGACGAATCTCTTAATAACCTATGAATTATTTGATCTCGGGATGTAACTCAAACTTCACACACTTTGACCCTTCAGCTTCTACACCATTGTAGTGAGAATAAATCTGACCAGCTTCTCAAACTTAGCCACATAGTCAGCCACAATCATGTTTCCTGTCTTCAGTTATAGGAACTCAATCTCTTTCTTTTTGCGAACATCAACCAGAAAATACTTCTCCAAAAACTCTTTCTTGGAGTTCTCCAAAAGTGATCTCACTACCTGCCACTTCCAGCCTCTGACGAGCATTATCCTTCCCATACTCAGCCTCCTCAGATAACATATGTGTCTCAAGCAACACTTTCTACTCATCAGTGCAAACCATAACCTGGAATACCTTCTCAATCTCCTAAAGCCTAAATTTGATCACCCTCGGTATTGTACCTTCCCTTGAAAGCAGGCGGATTGTTCCTTTAAAACTTGCTTAGTCCATGGAATGGGTCAACTCTACCATTCTGATTATTATTTTGATTTCTCTGCAACACCTTACTCTCTTGCGCCATAACTTGAGCCAAGGCTCCTGGAGCATCAACAATCGCATCATTGTTTCTGCCTCCAGTCATTTTTATGCACACCAACAAATAACCGTTAGAAGAAACATGCATCAATAGTGTTTACACACATGTTGCATACTAGGGAACAAATAAAATCACAAAAGCCTGGTCGGATGGGCCAACCTGCTCTTATACCACTATGTAACACCCTAAACCCCGACTCTTAATTTAAAAGAGAATAAATCATACTTTAGGATGCTACTCGAACAACATGCATACTTTCTTCAATTATAATTAATAACTCGCATCAAAACTCAAATAATCATAACATAACTTCACTATTACTTCATAAAGGAATACTGAATAAAACAACATAATCCAAGGATTTACTCAAAACAAATAAAACACTTGTTCTCGATGTTACATATTAGAGCATTAAACCAATTAAAAATGATAAGCTAAAACAAATAAACAAAAAATCTTCACAACAGTCCTCCAACTCATAGCAACACTTACCTCTGAATATATGTACAACATAGTACAGAATAATACAAAGACAACAAGAAAGGGGGTGAAAATACACTTTAATATATCAATGGTGTAAATAATGCAACGATAGTTTAAGTAACACATCAACAACACACATCCATTTACAAAACAATCAATCAAAGTCACAATGTCTTTATGTATGCAATGTGACACAACTCGATACTATGCATGTGGTACCAATTAGACATCAGAGGTTTGTTATTGATCTTGTCCATACAACAATTGTTATGCATTAGAACTGGGTCCCTACTTTTGAACTCTGAGTCCCCACTTCTGGATGCTGGACATGTATTGGTCCCCACTTCTGAACCCGTAACACCTCTTTCACAACACTAACGAGTATGATGCATGACATATAAATAATGGAAATACCATTATGGTTCCCATTCTAACCATAAAAAACTTGCAATTAAGCATACACATTTGTCCCAACTTCTGAACAACACACCACAACACAAGCAATCACAATTATATGCACATCATATAATTATTTCACAATAACACATTTCATAACCAACATACTTAATTTAATTATTAGTTTACGTTTTTAATAATTTACTTTAATCAATAAAATTCATCAATATATACCAAAAAACCTTCAACCATCGACCACATAATAAACTGTATCTTAAAATAGACCAGACATGGAAAACTGACCCCCTGACGGTCGCGATGACCGTTACCCAGCGTGTCACGCTCTCCCCTCACAAACTTGTTCGTGGGTGATGATCGGAAAATAATTTCTTCCTAGAGACCGTGAAGATCTCCTCGTCATGGAGCTGACGATCGTCAACTGCCTCAGACGCATGATGGTCTTCTCGTTGCACTTGTGATGACCATCATGCCGATGCAGGCACCAAAATATGCATTTTTTCCATACTAGAGCTCATTCAGAGCTCCGATTCTAACTACCAGTATCCCAAATTGAATAGAAAACATAGATAAATATTATTCACCAATCAAACAACATTTATTCATTAATTAACACTCAAAATCATTACTTTTCAAGGACTTAAGGTTATGTTCAAAGCATTAATTTCACAACAATGGGGTTCATAAATCTCAAATTCACACTCACTTAATATGCATAAATTCAGCAACATACAAGATACAAATTTACATATTAAACATCATAATTATCATGAATTAATCATAATCATACACAAAACTCATAAAACACAATAATGGAAGAAAAACATTGAGGAGGGTGATGATCTCTCTACCCTTCATGCAAATACA